ATGCTTCGGAGACTGTGGGCTTTTACCTTTGCTTTCTCAAAGTCCAGGTCTTTGCCTATGGTGGTGAGCAGGCGGCAGAGGCACTCTAGGGACTCCTCATCATGGTTCTTCAGCAGCTTCACCACACAGTCATGCATGATAGCTTCAGTCAGCATCTTGAGTTTAAAGAGCTCTCCAATAAACTTGATGTTACCAATGGATCTCCGCCGGGCTTTGTCCTTAGCTTCTTCTAGTTCGTCATGAAGCCTCGTCCTCTCCTCTGGCTGTTGTGTAAGGAATGACAATAGAAGCCTGGATGACAACTGTACGGCACAAGGGAGGACAGGAACACACACACTCTGACTCATGGTCTTATCCTTTGTGGGGTCAGGGATACCCTGTGAGAATCTGAAAGCAACTTTAGACCTGTTCTATTCCTCAGAAAACTAAACTACCCCCCAAAATTTGCATCCATTTCAGGAGATTTCTGGAACTCAGTGACCTCTCTGGGATCCGGGCTCTGAATTCCTGTCTGGGAAGGTTTAGTTGCTCAACCATGCAGCATGAAAAAGAATAAAGCGTTCCCCTGAACTTCAATTCTGTATCTCTACATGAAAAAAAGGCCATAAGGCATCTACTGACATAGCAGGGAAATGTAGCCGGTTTCATGAAAATTCTATTTGGTAACACTCAGAAGCATAAGCACACTGCTTTCCTGTGAAAATACTCACAGCACTGGCAGCCTCGAGTTCTTTCTGCTTCTTTTCAAAGACATCATCATCTGCTTTATCTTTTTCAAACTCTTTCTGGCAACGGTTCAGGAGCAGCTTCCGGAAATTCACTGTGTTACCAGGTTTGTCTGCCATGGGTACTTTCAGCTGCATCCATACAGGAAAATGCAAAAACATCAAGATTACTTAAGACATTCAATCATTTTCTCAAAATATCTATTTTATACAAAATAATGCTGACTGAACTACAGGAAAGCTTCTAAAAGAGGTACACGATTTAGCTTCAGTCAGTTTGTGTTTAATGGTAAAATGTCTTAAATTTTATACAGAAAAGAAATACATTCCTCTCATATAAGTGTACTGTACCTTTTATGGCTGGTTTGCCTCTAGTTGACTTTGATGGCCATGTAATATTGTAACAACTATGACTCCGCCCTTACCTAGACCTTTGTAACTCTACAGGGTTATTACTTTTGTTTTTCTATTACCACGGTAGTTAAGTTTAAAGGTTTAAAGGAACAAACAGAAATGACATAAAGCAGGGGACAATTTCATGGCTATAGGAAAACTGTTGTGGGTAGGGTCCTTATTCTGGAAAAAAAGCAGAAGAGGGGGACCACTTTAAGGATTTTTGAGATACCTCGTCTTCAGGGGTAAGTCATAACTGTGATGCTGGTACTTACCTGTACTATCAATACACTATGTTTACTGATTACTTTTTATGTGTCAAAAGAAAATACTAGTTTTCCAAAGGTTCAATCTAAAAAATGGCCACCTTAGAAACATTCTTTGACACACAGGAAGACCCAGACTGGACAGGGTAGAACCCTGGAGGCAGGATGTGTACAAGGTTTCCATGCAAGTCTCATAACTGCTTTCTAGTGACAGCAATAGCTGGTATCTTAAAGGTTATTTGTAACCAAACGCAGAGCCGTTCTTATAAGAAAGTGGACTGGTGCAATGACTGACTAAAATATACCATTTTATAGATGAAATGCCCCAGAGTGTCATTCTGAACAGCTACTGTGTAACATGGGAAAATGATTTTTCTGGAATCACAAAGTGGGTCCCAAAATTCTGAAACGCGTGGTCTTTGCCCTAAGTTTAATGGGAGAACCTGGTAAAAAACAGAACGTCCTGTATTTATACTCACAAACAAGTTACTGTTACCAACCACAATGGACTTGGGAGAGCTGCTGATTCAGGCTGAATGGCTAGAGAAACTTCTTGAGAACTGAGTACTATGATGCTATACTGGGTCTGTGCTAGAACTGACGGACACTCTCCGAGAGATTCCCTATGACACATAAAAGACCATTTAACAGACCAGTTCTTCTTTTTAAGACTTTATTTTAAGGTAATCTCTATACCCGACGTAGGGCTCAAACTCACAAGCCCAAGATCAAGAGTCGCACACTCTACTGAGTCAGCCAGGCACCCCAACAAGTCCGGTTCTAACCAACCAAGAGAGCAAGTGTTTCATTACACCTTCCCTGCCCCCCGCCAGCAGGAAATATTAACTCAGGAAGAGGGTAAGATCACCAAATTTTTTTTTTTGACACACATTAAAAAAAAAAAAAAAAAAAAGTTAAGATGTCCTTAACTCCAAATTCAGGCCATAAAAATGCAAGTGACTACAGATCATTTCAGGCAGGCCTACTCAACAATTGCATGTGAAGGCAGGCATTTAATCAGCCTTCGAGAAAAGAAATGCTGGGGTGCCTGGGTGCCTCAAGCTGGTTAAGTGTCTGACTTCAGCTCAGGTCATGATTTCACGGACAGCTCAGAGCCTGGAGCCTGCTTTGCGTTCTGTGTCTCCCGCTCTCTCTGCCCTTCCCCCGCTCTGTCTCGGTTTCTGTCTCTCTCTCTCTCTCAAAAATAAAATAAACTTAAAAAAAAAAAGACTAAGTTTAAAAACAAAAAAGAAAGAAAAGAAAAATGCTACATGAAAACAAAGGTTTTCCAAAGCAAAAACCAAAAGTGGACTCTATTTAGAATATACAACAATGCACTACGAAAGAGAACCAAAAAGCACATCCACAAGCAAGGTAGTATATAATAGAACAACAACATGATATCAGGTTCCAGAACAAACTAAAACTTTAAAAAATCAGCAGAAGAAAAAACCAGCAGGTATTTCCAACTTGCTGTTTTGTTGAAACACAGAAAACCAGCCAGATCTATCCAGCTTCTTGGGATGTTTACCAGCATCACCTATATTAATACTACAGGCATAACTGGTAAGACAAAAATCACCTGGGCCACAATCTATCAGCTCTAAAGAGAGGTTTCTTGTATTAAAGATTGTACCATGCAGAAAATGAAGAGAATGTGGACAACAGTATGAAACTCTAAGCCACTGTCTCACGGTGAGAGGGACCAGAATGAAAATGAATCAAAAAGATTAAATAAATAAAACTTGTGACAATTTGATTTCCAGGAAACAAGTAGAAATGGCAAAAGGCAAGGGAGAGCTTCCCTATACAAAAAGTGTAAAAAGCTAAACCTTTTAGGCCTTTTCCATAAGGAGGCCTATTCAAAGTTTTGGGTTAAAGAACAAAAGAGAGGGGAGCCTGGGTGGCTCAGTCAGTTAGGTGTCCGGCTCTTGATTTCGGCTCAGGTCATGATCTCACGGTTTGGGGTTCTAGCCCTGTGTCTGATGGTGCGGAGCCTGCTTGGGATTCTCTCTTCCTCGCTCTCTCTCTGCCCCTCCCCTGCTCAGCCCCCCCCCCCCCAACTTTAAAAAAAGGATCAGAAGATATATATACTTAAAAGCAATTCTTTTCTTAAAAATGTTTATGGGGGGGGGGTGGGCAGGGGCAGAGAGAGAGGGAGAGAGACGATCCCAAGCAGACTACGTGCTGACAAGCCTGACCCCACAAACTGTAAGATCATGACCTGAGCCGAAATCAAGAGCCGGACACCTAACTGACTGAGCCACTCCTAAAGGCAATTCTTTTAACCCAAGTTTCAGTTTCATCCCCTAGAACAAGGGAAACACAATACCTGTGTCTAACCCAGAGGACAGCTTTGAGCATCTAATGAAGTGGGTTTAGTGGAAGCACTATGTAAGTCACAGAGGATGGGATATTTGAAACACTGAACATTAAGCTTCAATCCTTTCCACTGCAAAGGAGGCATTCCAATGACTGCAGATGGAGGGACATTATAAAAGAGCTGTTGAAACAGGTACTTTGGAGACAGTCTTAACTCCAGCTCTGCCAGGTGACTTTGGCCAAGTTATTACTTAGCTTTACCAAACATCTATTTCTTTCTAAATGGGGATGATAACATCTTACTGGAAATTACATGAGGGCAGTTTAAGTAATGCAAATGATAGTGGCTGGCACATCATCAAGAGTCTAATGAACTAATATAGCTATATTTATACACTTGGAGCTACATTTCACATGTTTATGAGTAAAAATTCAGGGTAATCTAAATTACAGTAATGCAGGTATCAAAGAAAATATATAAACAAAGTTAGCTCACCAAGTAATTAGGGAGAAAACCACAAACAGCAAGAGAAATGACCATCTGCTATCCGTAAATGATGACAATGAGAGATTTCACATGTATAGGTCCTAAAAAGCATGATTATGCAGAAGTGTTTTAGACACGGTCAAATGAAGACACTGACACCAAACAATCAGTGGAATGAATGGCCACAGATCGGCAAGTACATTTATCTTCAAGCGGATGAATGCCTAGCTATACTACCCCCTGAAGACTTGTTTGGGAACATGCTTTTAATGTCCTCAGGGATGGTTATTAATAGGGTGGAAATATGGAAATAGGCTAACGAGAACATGTTCTCTGAGAATGGCTGGTGATGCATGGTAACTTTTTTTGTTCTTGAGATGATAAATTCAACAGGGTGATGACATTATTAGGTCAGCCTTGTTGTCTGCTGGACACTGACTGGTCAGAAGACCCAATGAAATTGTTCAGTTAGAATAGACAGGAAGAGGGAATGTCTCGGTCTGCTAGGGCTGCTATAATACCATAGAATGGGGGCTTAAACAACCTTTATTTCTCACAGTTCTGGAGTTTGGAAGACTAAGACTAACGTGCCAGTAGATTTAGTTCTTAGCGAACACCCTTTTCCTGGTTTACAGACGGCTGCTTTCTCATACATCCTCAAGGGATGGAGACAGGAACCTCTAGTATCTCTTCCTCTCCCTATAAAGGCACTAATCTCACCATGGAGGCTCCACCCTTATGACCTCATCTACACCTAATTACCTTCCAAAGGCCCCACCTACTAGTACCATCAGACAGGGTGAGGAATTGAACATATGATCTAGGGGTGTGGGACAAGAACAAACAGTCTTTAACAATAGACAAGGCAGACGTCTCCAAGTGTGATTATGGATAACAGCAAAAATCAAAGGTGATGTACAACAGTGAGAAAAAGATCTCTTTAGATAACTATCATTTTCATTAAGCAGTAGTCCATGATCAAAACTAAGATAATGTGTTTTAAATGAGTTGCTTGAGGAAGTTGCTCAGGGAGTAAGGGAGTCAGGGGGAATATTTCAGTAAGGCTGTTTGGTAAGCTAGAACACTGGAGAGCACCTAAGCTTTTCATGTTTACACAATAGTAAACTGCGTGTCATCTCATATTGGGAGGAGACCTGTCCACGTAACGGTCACCCGGCAATCTTGGTTACGAATGTTGCCAGCATCAGGTAGCCATTTTCGTCAAGCAACAGGACCTGTACTGCTGCTGATAGATTTGCTAGTGTTGAGGGGAGATACTTCTTATCCCTGAAAGGATCAAACTCCTTGAGAGTCAGCAATGGCTGCCAGCAGTGTGTTAATTACAGTAGTCAAATGGAAGACTAGAAAATGAAAGGACCAGTCCCAGCAATGCTTACCATGGCCTAGGGGTCATTTTGCTCTAAAAGCATGTCCTGGTTTGCGGTAAAATATTTGAAATGACTAATGTAGTGGCACCACTATGTTAGCTCTAAAATGTGAAGGGAACAGTAACCAACCAATTGTCCCAACTATCACTCATGAGTCCACGGTGACATAGTATCCTCCATCAGAAGTTATCTCCTGACCTTAGTAAATCACCTATTGAAACTGAACGAAATACATACTCCAAAAATACTACAAACAAATCTATCAAACTGTGTCGCTGGTTAGATACATCTGAAGAGGTATATAGCGGTGAGAGATGCCCAAAAGATTCAAAAGAGTTCTGAAAGGGCAAGTCATTTCTCCTCAACGTTTCTGTAAAGCATTTTTCATCTGTTATCAGGCGAGCTGCACGTCCCTCCTCCTCCAGTTGACTCTAGCCACTTGCTGTTGCCCACGGCTGACTTTTCATGTCTGTACTTCCAGGCATTATTTCTGATGAGATTTAAGTGTGTCTCCTTTATGCCCTTAGTGACTCTTCCTATACTCAATCCTGCCATTCTTTGCATGTCTTGCTTTAAAGCACTTGAGCAGTGGCAACATGAAACTTCTGCAAATGGCATAACAGGACACAGAATGCTCAAAAATCTGCCCTCAGTGCCTACCTTTATAGCTGAGGTATACATGCCTGCTGGAGCAAAGATAAAAAGTAAAAAAAGAAACAATACAGATGTTGGGCATATAATAAACTCAAGTTGTTATTCTTTCATTCATGCATTTACCCACTTATCCCCAACGTATGTCTGAGAGTCTATGATGTGGCCAGGAACCATTCTAGACACTGGGAATTTAGCAGTGAAAAAACAAAAAAAACAGCAACAAAAAACCCAGAAAAAGTACCTCTCCTTAGGAGTTTACATGCTAATGGGGTTTTTGAGATGTGGATTTGGTTTGAATTATGATTAAAAGAAAAACATAGGCATTTAAAATTACCAACAATCCAACTAAAATTTTTATTTAACTCCAGATTTAGATAGAGGATGTTTTCTCTTATCTACTCTTCCCCATTTGCCATTCTGAACGGTCCTCCTCCTAAAAGAAGTACTGAATTCTAGTTAAATGCTGTGCAGTTTGTAAAGGGAGTTCTGTGGATCTCTCAGTCACTCCTAGTTGAACTAGTGAAAGCAGCGGCAAACTCCACAGGCACCGCTTCCTATCTCTTACAATGCCCTTACGCCTGATGTGCCAGAGGTTTCACTTAATACAGCTGTGAGGAGCAGGCAGCTGTGTACATGTATAAATGTGTCTGTGGAAATAATAAAGGTGGCATTTGCAGAGTAACTTGGGAAAATCAAAACTATTACATCAATTTCCTCTGTAAATCTAAAGAATTTCTGGCTTAAAAGCCTATCCTTTAGGGCATCATGGAAAACTGACACAACAGAACTGCCTTCTCTAGCCCTCACCTACATAAGTACTACAAAGTCACATTTTACATGGAGGTGTGTGATCCATGTAAATGACATGGAGGCCGAAAAAAGGTTTAAAAACTGCTCAAAACTGAGAACAAGTATTCTCTTAAATCTTAAAATCTCAAAAATCTGGGCCAGGTTTCCCAACCTTGGCCCTCATGACATTGAGGGTAGGATAATTTCTTTGTTGTGAGGGCTGTCTTGTGCACTGTAAGATGGTTAGGCATGCTGAGCCTTTGCCTACTAAGATGCCAGCAGCCATAACCAAAAACGTCTCTAGGTATTGTCCAACGTCCCCTGAAGAACAAAACCACCCCTGGTTGAGGACCACTGATCTAGTCCATTGTTTAAGATTCTACCATTTAATACTCGAAACCTTTAGAAGAATAAAAGCCCTACTTAGGCAATTTCCTAACTTTCAGAGGAATTAGTGAAGAGGGATGACAGAATGGTTGTGAAGATCAAATGAGTCAGACATAACAGGTTAGCATATTCCGCAAAAAAAAAAAAAAAAAAAAAAATACTGCTATTATTCCCACTACTCCACACTCTTACTACTCATGGCTATACTGTATGACTGGGTAGATAACCATAACCAGATTCTATTATTTGGAATGACCAACACTGATGATCCAGGACAAGTGCCATAGGTCTACACGTTTCTTACAATCATGAATCAGACAAAAGACTTTGCAATTTAACCTGTCTTGATAATACACACTGACAATGATAATTGAGGTACTTAAATAACTCAATGAGTACAGTGGACAGAAAGAGAGCACCTCCCCTAGATGAAAGTTTAATTTTTTATTCACTGTCTTCAGTTTCTCTTATTCCATTGGGAGGTGTCATTTCTCAAACTAATGATTATCATGAAAACAAATAACAAACCCAAAATAGTGCCCGTGGTCAAGAAAGTCTGGAAAATATTCCATGGAGTAGACCCTTCTTCTTTAATTTCACAAGAAACATCAGAATAGTAAATGGAAAGACATTTGCTTAAATTGGCCTTAGTGAGACATATTAACATTTTGATTTTGGACAACATTGGCCCAAAGACATGCCATCTTAAAAAAATAATTGGCTAAGGGGTGCCTGGGTGGCTCAGTCAGTTGAGCATCTGACTTCGGCTCAGGTAATGATACTGCAGTCTGTAAGTTCGAGCCCCGTGTCGGGCTGTGTGCTGACAGCACAGAGCCTGGAGCCTGCTTCAGATTCTGTGGCTCCCTCTCTCTCTGCCCCTCCCCAGTTCATACTCTGTCTCTCTCTGTCAAAAATAAACAAACATTAAAAAAAATAATTGGCTAAACTCCATTTCATTCCCTACAGCATATAAAATAATATGGTGCACATTTAAGTATTTATCACCCAACTTTGTTAAATCTTAGTATTTTTCCATATTTGCTTTAGATCTTTTATTTATTTTTTTTAATCAAAGCCTTTTATTTTTCAGACAGAGAGAGACAGAGCATGAGCTAGGGAGGAGCAGAAGACAGAGGGAGACACAGAATCCGAAGAAGGCTCCAGGCCCTGAGCTGTCAGCACAGAGGCCGACGTGGGGCTCAAACACACGAACTGCGAAAGATCATGACCTAAGCCGAAGTTGGACGCCCAACCGGCTGAGCCACCCCGGCACCCCTAGATCTTTTACTTTTTAAGAAACATTGGAGTAAAGCTCTAGGGCACACAGAATTTTATTATTTTGCTCTATCACTTCTTTTTATTTTGTGTTTAACGATTTAAGTTTTAGCTCAATGAATTATGACAAAACAAACTCACATGCACACCACCAGGCATAGCACCAGATCAAGAAATAGAACACTGACAGTCTCCAAGAGCCCTATTTGAAGTTTTCTTCCAAAACAGTACTACCTCCCAGCCCCCATTATCCTGTAGTTTATAATAACTACTTTTCCTTGTTTTACTGCCTAAACATGCATCTCCACACATCAGAGTTTATTTTTATTACATTTTTGAATTTTGTTTTATTTATTTATTTAAAAAAAAATTTTTTTTTTTCAATGTTTATTTATTTTTGGGACAGAGAGAGACACAGCATGAACGGGGGAGGGGCAGAGAGAGAGGGAGACACAGAATCGGAAACAGGCTCCAGGCTCTGAGCCATCAGCCCAGAGCCTGACGCGGGGCTCGAACTCCCGGACCGTGAGATCGTGACCTGGCTGAAGTCGGACGCTTAACCGACTGCGCCACCCAGTCGCCCCTACATTTTTGAATTTTAAATAAACAAATCACACACACAATATGTATTTCTTTAGGGACTGGCTTCTCTTGCTAAAGTTTATTCTTGTGAGATCCATCCATGTGTATTTAGTCACAGTTTTATGTTCACTGTGCTACTATGAACATTGTTTCAAAGTTTTTATCCATTATGAAAAATGCTACCCACATTTTTGCATATGTTGCCTAGTATATAAGAAATGTACATTTATTATCAGTTGGATGCATACTTAAGAATGGAAATGTTTGTTAAAGCAGAAAAATAACTTCAGCTTTTACAGCTGAGCCCTTCTTACCCCTTACATTCCCACCAGCAGTGCTTGAGTTCCTGGTGACTCACGTATTTGCCAACTCTGGGAAGATTAGCAATCTGGAGTTAATGCATAGTTTTAGATCTAGTTGGAAAATGTCATTATGTTTGTTGGTATCATCTGAATGGCTTTTGGTGAAATGTAGATTTCAGTCTATCGTCCATTTAAAAAAGTTATTCTCTTAATGATTTCTATTAGCTTGGGGAAAAATCTAATATAGACCCTTTACTGGATTTTTGTAATTATCTTTTCCTAATAAGTGATCTATATTTTTATTCCCTTAATGATATCTTTTGAAGGAAACATGCTAATTTTAATGTAGTCCAATTTACCAGTCTTTTCTTTTGTACACAGTGGCATTTGTGTCCTAAGAAACCTACAAATTATTCTTTTTAATATCTACCCCCCACCCTGGTTACTTTTTATCTTTTGTTGTAAGTAGCTTTACAATAACCAGTCTAAATGTTTTCCTTCCTTCTTACCTTTTATTTATTTTTAAATTCATGCTTGAGGTTTAGAGTAAATCACTTCAATCCGTGGCTTTAACATCTTAGCACTTGTAAAAAACTTCTCAGCCATTTTCTTCAACTATTGCTTTTTTCCCCACTCTATCCTCTCTCCCCTTGGGACTCGAAGTAATGCAAAGTTTGAGCTTCTTGACTTTTCTCCATTGTTTGCCTTCCCTTCTGTATTTTTCTCTTTTTTTGTATTTCTGTGCTTTATTCTGGATTCTACAGACTCATCTTCTACTTCATAATTCTTTTCTTCAGCTGTATCTGATCTAGGGCTATTAAACCAATCCATTAAGTTCTGAATTTTATTATAATATATATTCAGTTCTGGCATCTCTATTTAGTTCTTTGAAACTTTCTCATTCTCTGTTGAAAATTTCAACCTGTCTTTATCACTTTGAACATAATAAGTATAGTTATGTAATGTCTGTGCCTGATAAAGCCAGTATCTGGAGGCCCTGTGGGACGTTTGTTTGTTGCTGGTTCTCATTCATGGTGCCTTTTTCCCTTGTGAGATTTATTATTTCTAACTATGTACTGGATACCTTATTTGAAAAAATGTTCATAGAAATAACTGAAGACTAAGAAGATAGTTTCTAAAAAGGATTCATGCTTGCTTCTTCCAGGTACCTAGCAGGCACTAACACTCTGAAATTACTATAATCGAAATTCCAGGACTGAGATCATTTGATGTTGAGCTACATACAGTACTTGTGAGACCAGGTCAATTTCTGATTCAACTGTTTCAAGCATGCAGTCCTTTGGAATCCCAACCTAAAATACAGGATTTACTGGAGCCTCTTCAGCCACTCTTCTGGTGAGTGCTGGTCCCAAATTCTGTCCTCCTAGCCCAACAAGTCTATGAAAAACAAGTTTTTCAAGATGTTTAGTTGCCTCTTCTAGGGGACATTTTACTAAATGTTTCCATTTTCTTTGGATTTCTACCTTTTCTAAGATTTTAGCCTTAGTAATTCTTTTATTTTAATGTTCAATTATTTTGAGAGAGAAAGAGCACGTGCACACACACATGAGCAGGGGAAGGGGAAGGGAAAGAGGGAGAGAGAATCCCAAGCCCAGAGCCTGATGTGGGGCTCAATCCTACAAACCATGAGATCATGACCTGAACTAAAATTGAGTTGGACACTCAACCGACTGAGCCACACAGGCGCCCCGGTCTTAGTAATTCTTTATGTCATTTAACTCTCTGATGCCTTCAAGATTTTTAAATATTTTGTTAACAAACTTTTCTAATTGTTGTCACCCATGGAACGTTGGTCTGGATCACCTAACTTATCAAAACTAGAAGCCCTAATACTTACTTCTGAATACTTTTCCTTAATCTTTTCTCCTTTTCTCCTTTTCTCTCTTACCTTGAATTTGATGTTTGGTATCTCCATTTGGTATAGTTTTATTATATATGTATTTCATATGAACAAGCTTCATTTTGCATATTATAAGAAATTACTGAATGTCATACTGTTATTCAATACTATTTTTGAGGTTGACACATGCTAATACATTTAGTATTAGTTCATTAATTTTAACTGCTATGTATATATATTACTATTCAAATTCACTGACCAAATAAATTGTGGTGTACTATAATATACTGTCTTGTTTAGGCATGTTTCAGTTATTTCCTATTATTCATTGTTAAAATCAATAAAAAAATATTATTTAAAAAGATGGCTTGTGTACATTTGGTAATTTCTCTGGGGTATATACCAAGAAGTAAATTCTTGAGGAATAGAATATGCACATCTTCAACATTACTGTCTAAATACTCACCAAAGTGAAAGTGACTGTATTTAACTCTCAACACTTTTAAATTATTTCATTTTTTAAAATTGTAACAAGTGTGACTTGTACAGAATTGTGGTTTACTTGTCATTTCCCAAATCATGAATAAAACTGAATATCTTTTGTTAAGTTCATCAGCCAATGGATTTTCATTTCTATAAAATGCCCTTTTTTTTTTTTAATGGGGCTATTTTACTTCTTATGTTTTTTTCTCCTTAATTCTATATAATAACATTTTATCAGTTATGTGTATTGCAAATAGATCTCCCATGCTGTGGCTTTATCATTCTATTTTACGTATGGTATCATTTGCTGCATACCAATGACTGCAAATTTTAACAGTCAAATTCGATACTATTTTCCTATTACTCACTTTGAATCCTAATCTTGCTAAAGGAATTTTTCCCCACTCGAAACTTGATGAAGATAGTCTCCTCAATTTCCTCCTAAAATATTAGTCTAATTTATTATTTAGACTTTCATTATTCATCTGATATTTAAATTTTCTATGTAGTAGGAACCAATGAGTCCATTCTCATTGCCCCCTTTTATTTCAGGCCCTCAGTATCTCAAAAGTGTATCAGCTATGATATTGAAGTCAGGACAGTGGTTTACCTTTAAGAAAGAGGGAAGGATACAGTTTTATTTATTGACCAGGGTGGTAGGTACGTATGCTCACTTTGTTGAAATAACACTGAGCTACACACTAATAATTTGTATGCTCTTTCTACAGGCGTGTTGTAATGGTGTGCTAAAGCTAGCTTGTGGTGGTTTGTAAGAGTCAGCTATTTGGTAGAAATTTTGTGAGTTAACTGTCAAACTGTCCCTGGCTTAAAATCAGCCATGAAGAAATCATATCATTAAATTTTACAAAAGTAACAAATAAGGAATTTTTCTTTTCCCAAATACCATGTATGCTATATTTCTTTTTTCCAAGTTTTTTTGTTATTTTTTAATTTTTAAAAATTTATTTATTTTGGGGGGGAGGGAGAGAAAGAGAGAGAGAGAGAGAGAGAGAGAGGGAGGGAGGGAGGGAGGGAGGGAAGGTGAGCAGAGGAGGGGAAGAGAGAGAAGGAGACACAACAGAAACAGGCTCTAGGCTCTGAGCTGTCAGCACAGAGCCCAACATGTGGCTCGAACTCACAAACTGAGATCATGACCTGAGCAGAAATTGGACGTCCAACTGATTGAGCCACCCAGGCGCCAGTTCCCCCCAAATTTTTTTTTGAGAGAGAGAGAGAGAGAGAGAGCGCGAGAGAGAGAGAGAGCGAGCGCACGAGTAGGGGAGGGACAGAGAAAAAGAGAGACACAGAAACCAAAGCAGACTCCAGGCTCTGAGCTGTCAGCACAGAGCCTGACTCAGGGCTCGAACTCACAGATTGTGAGATCATGACCTAAGCCGAAGTTGCATGCTTAACTGACTGAGTCACCCAGGAGCCCCTGTCTGTTACATTTCAATAAAAAATGTTTAGGGGCGCTTGGATGGTTCAGTCACTTAAACATTCAACTCTTGAGTTCAGCTCAGGTCATGGTCTCATGGTTTGCGAGTTCAAGCCCCACAGCCGGTGCTCTGCTGTCAGTGCAGAGGCCACTTTGGATCCTCTGTCCCCCTCTCTCTCTGCCCCCTCCCTCCTGGTTTTACTCTCTCACAAATAAAACTTAAATAAAAAGTTAACTTAACTTAAAAAAAGTTTTAAAAAATATATCCTTTGGTTAATGATATAACTCTGGGGGAATTTATGCTAAAAAAGTAAAAGCTTCAGCATGTAATGATAAATACACTTTGGTGTTTATTGCAGCACTGCTTGTGGGTGCAAGAAAACCCCCAAAACCAAAAAACTAGAAACAACAGGGGGTAAAAGAGGAGGGAGAGAGAGAAAAAGGCTGGAAAACTTATGGTATACATATATTTTGAAATATTATGCAACTACTAACAAAGTAGGAGTAAAATCTATCTTAGTGACCTAGGGATATGCACAAACATATTAAGTGGAAAAAAAGGAAACTGCAAAAAATACATATATAATTTAATACAAACCCAAAAGTATTTTCTTTATACACAGGTCTATGTTTTTATATAGTTTTATGAACATAAATAAGATTGTGGAGGTACACGTCCATGCCATTCCCACTGACTGCCCTGGGAAGGGAAGTGTAACTGGTGGGGCTGCAAGAAAAAGTAGTACCTTTTTCTGTGAATACTTCTATACTGCTGAACTTATTCTAAGAAGTTATTTTTTAATTTAAGATAATCCAGTAAAGTTTAACCAATATTATTTTTAAAAGAGTGAATCATAACAAAATTCACAGAAGTAGTTGGCTTATCTATAATTTCTTCCTATTTTAATCTAACTTCTATCATTGCCAGGCTTTTTCAAAGGCTGTTTTCATCAAGGATACTCTTCTATTAAAAAATCATTAACGATCCTTCACTGCCTATAGGAGTAAATCTGAAATTAGTAAAGAGCACTAAAATATGAGCCAGGAGATCTGGGATCTAGTCTTACTTCTAATGAGGGACCATGAGATGTCAAGGCAGCCACGTGGAAAATGAGAGGCGCGAGATGGAGAATTAGTTTGCCTTCAGATAACTACGGTACGGCACACGTTCAAAGGCAATATGGCAAGTGATTGAATAATCCTAGACTAGGATTCTAGTGCTGCCACTTAGTTGTGTGACCTTAAGCATGTTATTTATCCTTTTTTAAGCCCCAGTTTCTGATTCAGTAAGTGGGGCTACTAATATTGACCTTTTTCAGGGTTATAAGAACCATTAAAAATAATATATATAAAGCATCTACCCATAATGTAACCCAGTAGCTGCTGAACAGATGGTTTCTGTTATTATAAATCATCCTCATGCTACAGATAGCATTTCAGGACCTTTACAACCACCAATATATTTTTGAATCATTTAAGAATTACTACAGGTCAAATACTGGGCTAGGAACTTTACATACACCATCTCATTATGTTTTTTTATTATTAAATTCACACTTTATTATTAAATATTATCATTATAATAGCCTCAGATTGTATGACTTAATCTTATTTTATGGATTAAAAACTGAGGCTAAGGTTATGTAATTTTATAAAGTTACAAAGTTTGTAACAGTTCACTATAGTTTACTACAAAGTTTGCAACTTGCAGAGTAGGAAGTTAAATTTAAAATTTAAAGTCAGAACCATGAGACTCAAAGCCCGTGTCTGTGACAGCTATGCCACGTGCTGCCTCTTCTGGCTCTATCCTTACCCCCTCCCCCGCCTCAGGCCCAACTTGAACTCTACCTGTTTTATAAGTCTGTCAGTCTACCACCAACATAGTCATTTCATTTTTGTCCTACTTAATTTTTCAGTCTAGACCATCCATTCAGGCATCGACATATTGCAACATCACAGAATATGCTGTAAGTGATTTTTTTTTCCTGCTAATGCTGGGTTTTTTTTTAATATGAATTTTAAATTCCTTAAAGACAGAAGAGATAACCTTTCCAAGTCATAACAAACTTACCTACCTCTGGTAGAATGACAGAATTGTGCATTTTCATAGCAAGGCACAATGACAATGAGTTGTGATAATTAAGAAAAAACTCAAATGGTGAAAGGACACACGTCTGTGACACAAATAGTACCTTGGTAACAGTAACAGGCAGAGAAAACACATGGTACATGGTAATTTTCTGACTGCAGAACAGAGGGCAATGAGCACTAACCAGAAGCTCTTTGGTCTCCCATTCTGTCTTGCCCTAGATTTGACAGGCTGTAGATATTAAATGGCTGTGGACAATGTAAAGAGAAAGAAATCTAATAGTTGCTAAGAGATGAAATGATCAGTTTTGAACCTTTTATGACCTCAACTATCCTATCATTTTCACCAAGGCTCAAATTAGAGCAACTATATTTTTTAATTTGGAATTAACTGTGAATACAAGCGTTCACTTTCTTTCTATAAGCAAACACACCTGGAAAAGTAGGTTGCTCATGACAATAATTTCACATTACTAATTTAAACCTTATTCAATATTGCTCACAATGGATGGGACCATATCAAGCCTATTTCAGTCTAGTCTCCATATACCCTCCAGAGGTGACGATATATTTCAATAAAGCAAGATGCCTTTCATACATTGAGAATATTATATTAAAAAGTGCTAAAAATATATTCTCCCCTTTACGTTGCCCCAATAACACTTCTGGGAAGAATGTGTAGTGAGGGGAGAATATACCTCTTGGAGATTTCTGGTTTTACTCCTTCCTCTCTTCTTACCGTTACTAGACATCGACACATGTTTGCGTAAGCCACAGAGAAACTGGGCTCATCGATAGCCTTCTCAAAGACCAGGTCAATGACTCCCTTCAGCCGCTCCTCTGTGTCAACGGTAAGTCCTGACACTTGCTTCATCAGTTGGTTGAACATCTGTGGTGTCAATTTATTTAAGATACTTCGAACTTTTCTAAAAAGTTCCTAGAAGGGCCACAAAAAAGAAAAAAGTATTATCGTAACTATGACAGGATGATTCTTTCTATAAGGATTAGTATTTTGTTTATAAGTTCAACTCCCCAGGGGCGCCTGGTGGTGCAGTCGGTTAAGCGTCCGACTTCGGCCAGGTCACGATCTCGCGGTCTGTGAGTTCGAGCCCCGCGTCAGGCTCTGGGCTGATGGCTCTGGGCTGATGGCTCGGAGCCTGGAGCCTGTTTCCGATTCTGTGTCTCCCTCTCTCTCTGCCCCTCCCCCATTCATGCTCTGTCTCTCTCTGTCCCAAAAATAAATAAACGTTGAAAAAAAAAAAAAAATATATATATATAAGTTCAACTCCCCAAATTATTAACAAGGACTGTGAACTAATCAAAGAAATAATTAAATCCCATCTATTTTATTTTAATTATTAATTTTAACATTTATTTATTTTTGAGAGGGAGAGACAGAGACACAGATAGAGAATGAGTGGGGGAGGGGCAGAGAGAGAGGGAGACAGAGAATCTGAAGCAGGCTCCAGGCCCAGAGCTGCCAGCACAGACCCCAATGCAGGACTTGAACTCATGAACCATGAGATCATGACCTGAGCCAAAGCTGGACATTTAACCAACTAAGCCACCCAGGCGCCTCTAAATCCATCCATTTTAACAAAGAGCAAACAATTATACCACTTCTTTTTACAACACATGAGAATTCTAGGGATTAGTCATATTCACTGGTGGGAGTACACTCAGGGCAATCTGGCAACGTGTATTAAGAGCTCTAAAACTGTGATGTATTTTTTTGAATCAACAATTATACTTTAAGAAATTTATTCAGGGGCGCCTGGGTGGCGCAGTCGGTTAAGCGTCCGACTTCAGCCAGGTCACGATCTCGCGGTCCGTGAGTTCGAGCCCCGCGTCAGGCTCGGAGCCTGGAGCCTGTTTCCGATGCTGTGTCTCCCTCTCTCTCTGCCCCTCCCCCGTTCATGCTCTGTTTCTCTCTGTCCCAAAAATAAATAAAAAAAAAAAAAAACGTTGAAAAAAAAAATTAAAAAAAAAGAAATTTATTCATACTTAAGGATAAGTACGTAAGACTTTAGCCATAATGACTTCCTCCAGTAACTCTTTATAGCACATTAATGTGCTAAAATAGAAATCTATCTAAATTATGGCATAGAATACTAGGCAGGAGTTTTTTAAACTCTCATCTAAGTAGAAGTATAAGAGAACTTCCACCACTAGAAAAAAGCACCTATAACTCTACTTCGTGGTGAAATAATGACTGCTTTCCTTGTAAGAATGGGAATCAGGCAAGAATGTCCATTTTCACCATCCTATTCAAAGTCATACTGGAGGTCCTCGTCAGTACCCTAAAGCAAAGAAAAAGAACTACAACCCATATAGATCGTAAATGAAGAAATAAGACTCTCTTCATAAAGGAGATGATTATCTTTGTAGAAAATCATAAGGAATCTACAAAAATTGACACTAGAACTAATAAATAAGTGTAGCAACACTGCAGAATACATGTTAACATACAAATATCAATTTTACTTGTATATATTAGCAACAAACAACTAGAAATTACATATTTTAAGACTACTATTTACCATAGCACCAAAAACCATGAAATACGTGGTTAAGAATCTAACAGAATATCCATAGAAGCTGTATAATGAATACCATGAATCACTGATGAAAGAAATCAAGGAGGACCTAAATAAAATGAGATCTGGGTCATGTTCATGTATTAGAAGATCTATTATGGTTAAGTTGTCCATTTTTTCTAAACTGATCTACAGATTTAACATAATCACAATAGAAACCCTACTAGGGTTTTGGGGTAGTTTTTGGTAGAAATCAAGAAGCCGATTTGACTCTGAAAAGTCAAAGAAAAAAAAAAAGAACAGCCTAAATGACTTTGAACAATAACAAAGTTGGGGGACTCCTACAACCTGATTTCAAAATTTACTACACAGAGTGTGGTATCGGTCAGAGGACAGACACAGATTGGTAGAATAGAATCTAAGTCCAGAAATGGATTCACATATAACTGATTTTCAACAAAGGCACAAAGAAAATTGAATGGACAAAGGATAATCCTTTCAACAATGGTGCTGGAACAACTAGATATCCATAAGGAAAAGAAGAAGAAAAAAAAAAAAGAACCTAGATCCATACCTTGCATGAAACACAAAAATTAACTAAAACTGGATCACAGACCAAAATGTAAAACATAAAACCGTAAACTTCTAAAAAATAACAAAGGAGAAAAATTTTGTATTCTTGGGTTATGTAAAGATGTTTTAGGATACGACAGCAGAAGTACAACCTCTGAATACAAAAGTTGATACATTCCAACATGATCAAAGTTAAAAACTTCGGTTCTACAAGACACTATCAAGAGAATGCACCAACAAAACAGACTGGGAGAAAATTCTTGCAAACCACATATTTTATAAAAGATTTGTATCCAGAATATAATGAAGAACACTCAAAAGTCAATGATAAGAAACACCACCACCCACTGAAACAGGGCAAAAGATATGAACAGAAATTTTACCAAAGAAGATATAAGAATGGCAAATAAGCACTAAAAAGATGTGCTTAGTCAATATTTTATTCATTTGGAAATGCAAACTGAAACAAGGAGATGCTACCACACATCCATCAGAATGGCTAGAATTTATAAAGCAGAAAATAACAAGTGCTGATGAAAAACTAAAACTCTCATGCCTTGCCAGTGGAAATGCAAACTGCTACAATAACCATCTTAGAAAACAGTTTGGCATTTTCTAATAAGGTTAAACCAATATCTACCACACAACTTATGGATCCCATAGCTAGGATCTGACCCAGCAATTGCACTACTAGGTGGTACCGGAGTGCTATTTCAAAGGGGCACATGCACCCCAACGTTTATGGCAGAGGTATTGACAATAGCCAAAGTATGGAAAGAGCCCAAATGTCCATCAACTGATGAAAGGATAAAGATGTGGTGTGTGTGTGTGTGTGTGTATGTGTGTGTATATATATATATATATATATATATATATATATGCACACACCCTGGAATATTACTTGATCAAAAAGAATGAATGCCTGCATTTGCAACAATGTGGACGGAACTAGAGTATATTATGCTAAGCGACATCAGTCAGTCAGAGAAAGACATTGTAAGATTTCACTCATATGTCAAATTTAAGAAACAAAACATATGAATACAGGGGAAGGGAAGGGAAAATAAGACAAAAACAGAGAGGGAGACAAACCACAAGAGACTCTTAAATACAGAGAACAAACTGAGGGTTTTGGTGGAGAGGTAGGTGGGGGAATGGGCTACCTGGGTGATGGGCATTAAGGAAGGCACTTGTTGGAAAGAGCACGGGTTTTATATGTAAGTGATGAATCACTGGGTTCTACTCCTGAAATCAATACTACATTGTATGTTAACTAACTTGAGTTTAAGTTAATTAAAATTAAAAAAAAAAAACCTTCAAATATCTTCACATATTTCAGATGATAATTTAAGCTAAAAAATAGGATTAAAGAAGGTTAGTTATTAATGTAATGCACAGCATGGTGACTGAAGTTAATACCATACTACATATTTGAAAGCTGGTAAGAGGTAGCTCTTAAAGGTTTTCATTACAAGAAAAACGAATTTGTAACTCTGTATGATGACAGATGTTAACTGGACTAACTGTGGTGATCAATTTTGCAGTACATACAAATGTTAAGTCATTACAGTGTATAAACCGTATACATACAGTGTGTAAATCAGGTACAGTTAACTGCCTTCCAGACTACTGAACTTTAGCTGCAGAGACAAGGTAACTGCAAGTCAAGTGACGGAGCAAACAGGAGGTGGAGTAGGAGCCACAGGAGGGAGTAGTTTACACACACGAGAGGTCAGAGGCAATGGTTAGGGAGCAAATGAGAATTGAGC